TAGTTTATTATGTTAGGACAAAACTGGTTTTATAAGTGCATCTGAATGTTCATCTAAATAATTATAAATAACTTTTAAGTAACTTTTCATTATTTGTATAACAAATCAGTAACAGGCATTTAGTGCAGGCTTATTCTCTGATGTTTAATTAATGATTTTTGCATTGGTCAGTACTGAGCTGCAGTAATGCCTTAGTTGTAATTATCTTCAAACATGCCATGGGTGCAGCTAGAGATTTGGTCTCCCTGGTGTCTTTGCAGAACAGAGCAGAGCAGAACTTTTTCATGTGGGATGCTGTAGCTGTTGTCTTCTTTGTTTCGTTCCGGCAGCCACCAACACTCCTTTGTGGTTTGGACAACCCACTCTCTCCTCGCTGCCTGTCCGACTTACCACCTGACAGGGTAAATGTACCAGTACATTGCCTGTGCTGTGTGTGATTGTGACCTCTGTTGTATCCATGCCAGTTTCTCAGCGTTTAGTGGTGGTGTTTACAAAATCCTGCTAGACGTGGTCCATGATCATCTCCTTAATCATCTCGTAGAGTGTACATCCTTTCATACTTTCATTGTTCATTTTATAAATGGTACTGCATTTCACCAATATATGTTTGTAATAGACCTTAAGCATGTGTAGCATAGACCCAAGAGTTTTACCTAGTTGTCTTTACCTCTTGTGGTAGCAGAAATCTCCATGTTTTTGTGCTTATTTTGTCTTTGTTGTTGATGTATCCTCATTGGTCTTTCTTCCTCTTCCTCCAATACTTGTACGGCATGTGAAAGGAATGACAATTAGATTATGTTTATCCATCAGATATCCCAAATGTATTTGGCTTAATGGTTAACCATCTTGAAAAAAAATATCAGCAGTTTATTGTTAGTTGGCTGAAGTACTCATGGTGTGTTCAATTTCAGAGATGTGATGCATCAAGAGTTGACACAGGATGTTTAATCAGTAAGGCTTTGCCGGATTTGAGGTCTGCTCGGAGTATCGGACCTAATAGTGAAGTTTCTTTGAAAAGAGGGAAGGAAAGTTTTTATTTAAGGAATAATGGGATGAAGAGTCGAAACTGATCATGCAGTCAAAGCAGTGCCAACTAAATTTTTTATTAATTTTTTTTACCTCCAAATGACTCGCAATTTTGCAAATAAATATTGCTATTATGCATTTAGAGCGTGATGTTCTTTTTTGTTTTCATTGTTGTAGCATAGAGAGCAACTCCCAGCATTCTCCTTAAGCCTGTAAAGTTAATCAATGTGCAATAGTTGCTTTAAAGATAATTTTTAAAAGCAGGATAGTTTCATATTGTGCATGTTGTGAACATGTAAGCAAAGCAGACTAAAGCAAAAGTTGCTGCTCTTACATACTAGGACTGCAACAAATGATTATTTTCATTATTGATTAATCTGTTAATTTTATTATTTTCTTGATGAATGGATAAGTTGTTTACTCTTGTGAAAAATGTCGATCAGTGTTTCCCAAAGCCCAAGATGACGTCCTTTATTTGCCTTTTTTAGTTCACAACTCAAAGTTATTCAGTTTACTGTCAAAGAGGAGCAAAGAAACCAGGAAATATTCACATTTAAGAACCTGGAATCAGAGAATCCTAATTAATGGATTATCAAAATAGTTGACAAGTAATAAATTAATTGATTAATCATTGCAGCTCTATTACAAAGTTTTTTTTCATTTTTCTTCCAAAACCATAAGCACAGCACTAAGAGCAATAATTGTTATAATATTGAATATGGAAATGACTTCCATATTAGCGTCTTTACTTACTAAGTTATGAGGGTATTGGATGGTATGTGTTTTGGAAGTCGGTTATGTGTCTGCTTAAGTTGGATTGCTGTTAATCTCACAGCTGAATGATAGAGGTCAGCATGTAGGTAGAACTAAAATAAAGAACCTTTAACTCATTCATCCACAAGTGTTAGCTTATTCTAAACCTCTATGGCCAAATTTCAGTGTGGATGTATCCTGATGTAATCACACTAATTTAACATCAAATCTCCTCGATCCATTGAATACGTAACATTGTATTCAGAGAAAAGCATCCTGCTCACTTTGTATTTCTCAGTGACATATTAAATATACATGATAGCCATCGTATGTTTCTCAGAATCATCAAATTGATATCTGCTTTTAGTTAGAGGTGTTGAATAGTGTCTCCACAAAGCGCAGGGAACATTCCCTTTACAAATGGTAAAACCACTCTGCTAACCACAAAAAAAATCAAGTGTTCATCCACGGAAGGACTTTGAATTGCTTCATTATATAAATAGTCTACCCAAAAACCATTAGTCTTCTACATCTGACAAGTGCTGCCAGCTCATAGGCCTGTTTGAAGACACAAATTTACTTCTATGCTGAGCCAGACATTTCTGTAAAGGAATATTTTATCAAAACCAGGCCAATCTAAATCTGAAAATGAACAGCTTTTAAGTCTCAGATGTCATACTCGACTTGACTATTCTGTCAACTCTGTATATTGCATGGAGAACAGTTGTAATGTTTTAAGCTCAGTTTTCATTCAGTGTGTGAAATGCAGATCTCTCTAGGCAACTGTGTTGCGTAGCCCTTCTGTCTGAACATCACCTTATACTAAAAGCAGAGCAGGTTAAGGCCCTTTTAGTTTTTTACTCAAACCTCCCCCGTTTTTATCAGTCACAGGTCATTCCTTCTGTCGTTACATTAACTTCATCATTTTACTTAACAAAATACCTACCTGCCTCAACTCTACTAAGTTTGCTTTTCTAGAAATGCAGTAAAACATGGGGAGTTTTCATAGTAATTTGTTTGACAAATTACACGCAACACCACCGCCAGCTGTTTTTTTTTTTTATAGAAGCAGCAATCTCGCTTTTGAAAGAAGGTAGACAGGAGCTTGGCATCAAAGGCAAACCAGTGCAATCAACATTGTTTGCTTATGATATAACCTTTAGAGACAGTAATGCTGTTTGATAGCAGATGACAAATGCTTAGCTGATTATGTTGATCCACAAACTGTTATTTGTATTTTTTAACCAAATGAGCGTCATTCTCTGTCAGTTTTGTTAGCACAAAATGTACCCATATCCCCAGAGTATTCCCTTTGGGGCTCTGAGTCACACTTGTCATCTTTCCACGCTCATTCTCTGTGGAGCTGTTAAAGACTTTACATTTTAGCTAGACTGTCCTAGAGCAGAGGAATCATAAGATTTGGAATACATAGATGAGAAACACTAATATATCATGTTCCCACAGAGCATATTTCTTCCTTAGGCTGAGAAAGAATGTCTCTACATGTATTGTGGTTTCATATTTTCACAGTATTTCTGAAAACTAATGCTGCCCATTTCAAAATTGTTTAATTTAAATTCATGTCCCCCTTTAACTTGTGCTGAAACATGACTGTGTGGTTTATTGAAGGAGCAAGCTTCTACTCCCGCTTGAGTCAAAACACTGTGTATCACTGCATGTAAGAAGACCGCATTAAAATCTATTTATTAATAAGCCTCCACAATGATTTTAAAATATCCTAGGAGAGAGCATTAACTTGCATTCAATCATTTCACTTTCACCTGCTTACTTATCTTTGCAATACTTTGGTTTAATGATAGTTTTCTGTTACACAGTTTTTTTTTGTCTTGGGTCCTCAAGCCTTGCTGGTGTCCCCTAAAATTCATAGTTACAATGTTCATTATAACCCGCAAAACAGAAAAGTTAGATGAACCGAACAACATAAAAAAAAATGCAAAGCTGGTTCTGGGTATGGTGTAAGAGGAAAGGCCATGAGGCCTTTGAAAGTGTGATGACTTATTCATTTGCAAATCATCTATGCACATAAAATGGAAATATGTGTATTATGTCTACATTTGATTTGATGAGATATATCATATGTCAAAAGCCATTTTGGTCTGAGGGAGGCACAAGATGAAAGCTGACTGACTGAAAATGGGAAAGGTTCATCATCCCAGGAGCATGAATGTGTTAAATGCAATCTTTGCTTTTTTTTTTTTTTTGCAAAACTGCTTTTTAGATTTGAGTATTTATTGTGTACGTGTGGTAAATGGCTGCGTTTATGTACCTCTTTCATCCAAAGTGCTTTACAATTTATTTGCCTCTCATTCACTTTAACACACATTCACACATTGATGGCAGCAAGACGCAATTTGGGGTTCAGTGTCTTGCCTAAGGACACTTCTATATGTGGACAATAGGTGTTGGGAATCAAACTGATATTGTGGTTAGTAGACGATCCGCTCTAGCTCCTGAGCCACAACTGCTCAAGTGGAGATGGTCAATTGTGGCACTAAACTCTAAAGGTCAGGGTCTAACTAAAATACCAGGATTTATTCTGCTGGTACAACATCCACATAAAAATTCATAGAAAACCAAAAAGGCCTGACAGTGGCACTAGTTTAAAGGTCAGGGGGTCACAAATATTGTGAACAGTCATCTTTAGAGGACCATTAATATTCATGCCAGATTTCAGGACACCAGTTGCTGACATTTCTTGGTTTGCTGAGCTCCTGTTTCCAAGATATTACTTAATAAAGATATCTCAGAGAACTGCTTGGATGTTATGTGCAGTTTTTATTATTATTATTATTATTATTATTTTTTTTTTTTAGGAAAACCATGTATTTTCAGAATAGATGGCGCTTTACAGTGGTACACAATATCAAATCAGGGAGCATTTAATCATATTTAAGACCACTGAGTGACCTTAGTAGAGTAGGAGTTGAGGACTTTGCCCAAAGGCTCTTTGGGAAGAGTTGGAGTATGCCTTTGCCTCGTCCTTTACCACAACTTTCCCAGCAGTTTCAGGCTTGCAGACCTGCAACTTTTAGGTGTCAATTTGTCCAACAATTAGGCTACCACCACCCAATATGTCCTTAAGTAGTGTCACTTTGAAAACTTCTCTTCTCTGTCCTACTTTCCATGAGCTAAAATTAGACGGAAACATGTGTTTTGCTACCCTTTCCTGAAGTAAAAACTTATTTTCTTTTTCCTAATAGATCCCTCGTGGAGGACGACGACGCTCACATGAAAGTTGCTCTGGGCTATGGTGATATGGGCATCTCTGCTCACCTGCAGGCATCAAAGACAGGAAACACTCGATTTTTCACAAGCAACACACACAGCTCAGTGGTTCTTCAGGTGAGAGTGCAGACATGTAGCGACAAAGTGAATGTTTAGTCAAAAATCCTCATCGTCTGATAATTGTGTTTACATGTCTCCTTACAGTTCCTATAGAGAACCTGTGAATAATGTATGCTCTATGTCCATGAAATAGTGCTGATTGCAAGCTGGTGAGACAGTGATTCAGATTTCTTATCATCACTTTTGAAATGAGATAAAGCTCTACGCAAGTTAATCTGTACCTACTACAAACTGGAAAAGTTGTCCTTATTGAATTTCTTTGCAGTTTAAAAACCCTTCACGCTGCAAAATCAAAACTACGTCAAAGAGCTCATAGCATAAATTACAGGATACAATTTAATAGCTCAGAAAGTATTCCAATGATTTAAGAAAAAGCACTTTGGATTTGGTGTCCGTGTAATTTGGTATGAAGAGGGAGCACAACAAGAATATTATAAAACTGCTGATCAAGAACGTAACAGAAAAGCTTTATTAGAAGTTCTTGAACTGACCTACTTTCTTCCGAGAACTGTTTATGTGTATTAACAGTTAAAGCATATTGATAAAGAGCACAAACTACCCTCGCCACACTTTACGTCTCATCTTTCTAATGGTAGCCATGCTCACAAAAAGACTAGAAAACAGCCCCCACATAGCAGAGAACTGAATAATCCATCAACATTACTCTGTTAAGGAAAGTGAAACAGTTGATGATAAATAAAACCTGTGCATGTTGTGATGTATAAATTGAGTGTGGAAAAAGTGTGAATCAGCATCAGGAATTTTGGTTTAAATTAAGTTATTTCAGTTTACATAGCAAGATGTATTACTGCACTTGGTGGCTGCTTTAACAAATCACCGATTTAGATGATAAAGTTAAGATCAACCTGTTGTAATGTGTGTGTTGGCATTGCACAACTTTCTGCTGCCACAGCGATGGTTGCCCTTCATCACCAGCTCTCATTGAAACTGGCTTTTGGCTGGTTTTGCTGCACATTAATCATTTTGTGTCAGAGCAAGGTAAGGGAATGATGATGAAGTTTAATGAGTGGTATTAGTATGTTAATAGCATGTAATGTATGTTTTCTTGCGTGTGTGCTCTTAGTGCAATCTGTTATAACTGGCTGGTAACCCATGGCAAATAATGGGACAGAAGTGAAGGGTGCATTTAACTTAACAATTTTCCCCATTTTATGCAACAGTAACAAGATGTGGTGAATGTCATTGAAATGACTGCCACAAATATGTGAGTACAAGTATGAATACAGTGTGTTTGAGTAAAAGACCTCAATCTGATTAAACAAATGATATGACTCTCCAAAGTGTCACTGCAGGTGAAGATATCATGTACAGGAACAGTGCAGCCTTTCAAGTCAGTAATAACTTTAGTGATTAAGGGAAAAGTACGGGGTTATTTGTTTTAAATATCACCAATTTCCTTTAAATCCTAAAGTAGTGAATTAATCTTTGTAGCCAAAGTCTGGTACACTGCAGCTAATCCCAGCATGCTGCTATGCCTAAAAGGGGACAATATACTGTAGCACCAAACATATAATTTTGAACCAGTTACGTGCTGCTGTCAACAAAAAAAAGTCATTCCTACTTAAAGTCCTGGAAAACAATATCATGTTGCTGATCTAAAACGCAATTACATTTTGGCTCCTCTGTGTCATTCAAGCAGCAGATCTACTTCACACTATATTTTGAGAGAGAAATAGAAGGAGGGTTTACGGGGCTCGTCACTTTTGGCTTCTGTTGTAGCTAGTTAGCTAATTCACTGAAGCAATACTTGAAGCTATGGATGTAAGAAGCTATTACAAAAAGACTAATGATGTAGGGAACAGGGTGCAGGTTAGGCTGGAGAAGGTGGAGGAATAGTTATCTCCTGTTGATTTAGCAGCAGATAAGTTAGGACGTGAGTGTGCCCCTGCCTCATCTACAGGCCCAGCAGGTTGGTGAAGAAGAGGGCTCTTTAGCTAGCTGGTTTAGTTCAGTGGTTCTCAAACATTTTTGTCACAAGGCACATCATTTATGAAAACCGAAGCACACCTTTACATATGATTATAGCTATGTAAATCATCATAAATAAGACTTATTATTTCCAAGGCACACCTGGCCAGCTCCCGTGGTACATCAGTGTGCGACGGCGCCCAGTTTGAGAACCACTGGTTTAGCTTGCCTGCACTCAGCGATATTAATGTGGAACATGGAGTAAGCATAGAAAGAATGTTAATTTACCTTACTTTGCCTGTGTATAATCCAAATCTTCAACACATAATTTGCTTCCCTGAAGCGTATGTTTGAAAAACATGCATCTCTGCAACTGACTTGGTGAATGAAAAATGTATTCGACACAGATTGGTAGCTAGCTAGGTAGCTACCACCAGGCTACCATAATTCCCTTACAATAGACAGCAGAAATATCAAGCTACTAATAGGTCATTACATGCTTCCATTGCCTGCAGCAAGGTAGGCTGCTTATAATCACGTATTGTTGTTGTTAGAATATTGATATTATTTACAAAATAAATTACTCTATCATCCCACAGGAAATAAATGTGTCTACTCATTGTCACTTTTAATTATTCAGAAGAAAAAAAAGCAACCCATTATTTGAGTTGAGTTTTGTGTAATTTCCCCCTACACATTGGTTTGCCAATAAAAGACAATGTTTAGAGATGCTATATGCACTGGACCAGAAACCTTTTGATAGAGCAAAGTGTTTCACATCTTATATTCATTACTCTAAAATAAAGTGAAAGTGGTGTAATTATTGGGTGAAAATCTAAAGATTTCTGGGCTTGGCTAAGCTCCTAATGTTTCAAGATCCTAACAGCGCCCCTACTCACATTGGACAGGCCGTGGCTAAACATAATTTTTTTGTCCTTACTGGAACATTGAGGCTCATGTTTGTGATTGGACAGGAAATAGAGTTAAGCTTTAATTTCAGTGGCAGACACACATTTGCTTGTTATTGTCTGTGACCTTATTGACACGAGTCAACCTTTATTCTCTTCTAGGGATTTGACCAGCTGAGGATAGAAGGTTTACTATGTGACGTCACACTGGTGGCTGGGGACGGCGACGAAGCCTTCCCTGTACACCGCGCCATGATGGCCTCCTCCTCCGACTATTTCAAAGCCATGTTCACAGGTGGGTCTAGAAAGCCTAACATTACTTGTTATGTTCTTTGTGTGGGAGATGCTTCTTGTTGCTGTGGTGCACACATTTGATTGCTTTAACACAGTCGCATGTCATGTCACTGTTTTTTTTTTTTTTGCCTCCTGAGAAATGACTTAAATTGACCGTGTGTGTGTGTGTGTGTGTGTGTGTATTCATAAAGGTTTCCATATTATAAAACCAACCTGGTCATTGGTACTTCATGACTGTACGTAATGATTGTAGGTGTGACTTAATAGCATAGGTCATCTCATTGGTGCACTGTATGCAGAGGTAGAAGAGGTAGAAATTTTTTTTTTCAGAAATACAAATGTAATCTTTTTAGACACGGCAAACATTTTAGGATCCAAAAAAATAAACTGAAAAGAATATTCTAATGTACCAGCCGTTTTATGGCTTTTTTAAAAAGGTAACCCCAAGGAAAACTGGTAACACACATGTTGTTTGTAAAAGTGACCTTACTGCTTTGGTTCGACCTTGTATTAACCTTTAGCCTATTTAAATTACGGCGTTTTATTTTTCATGGCAATAGCTTTGATTACTTTTGTTAGCATTACATTGTATATAAGCAATGAAAGGGGATTTTGGAGTTACTTGGGGTCTCATATCATGACAGAAGTGGAGGTAAGTTTGGAGATTTGGCATTTTAGAGTATATGATGAAGATGAAGAAGGTTCTGCATTGAGAACAGAATAGATTGTTAAAATAGGAGTAAGGGGTAACTGTACTTAGAGAGACAGCTCATTAGTGATAAGGGAGCCAAATGAGCATAGATGCTGAGCAATGGGATTCTCTCTAAGACCTTCAATCCTTTCTCTGAACATAAGTCCTTTGACTGTGAAAACATTTCATTGACATTTACGCATAATGACATATGTATCTAAATGAAATAATGCATTTTTGATTTTCAGCTTAATTGAATTTGTTCAGTTATGTAAGCTTTATTCAAGTTCTTTTAAAAAAATGAAATAGATGTGGCTGCTTACAGACCTGTCAGTCATATAAGATTATGTATGAGTTGAACCACGTGTAAGCATTTACATTTTCTTATCCCGTACTCACTCTTGTTGCAGGTGGAATGAAAGAACAGGATTTAATGTGCATCAAGCTTCATGGAGTTAACCGAATAGGCCTGAAGAAGATCATTGACTTTATCTACACAGCCAAGTTGTCACTCAACATGGAGAATCTGCAAGACACACTTGAGGCAGCCAGCTTCTTACAAATCCTTCCTGTGCTGGACTTCTGCAAGGTTTTTCTTATATCTGGGGTAAGGCACACAAGCCACAGCTGCACATCACTGTACAGTACACAGCGTCCCTCTAATCTTCACCATTTGTAAATTTGTAACATGTTTAAGCTCATTGGCTAAACTAAATAGATATTAGGATTTCAAAAATGATTTCAAATAAAAGCTGTTTGTGTTAAACTGCTCTGTCTTTGGGCTTGAGGAGGAGGCAGGCACATACCTTGAAGCACATTTCAAGAAAGATTTTGTTTTCTGTTGTTGTTATTAAATAGAAATAATCAGTCAGAAGAAATGATCGTCAATCATTTTCTCTTATTGCTCTTAAATCTTCATTTGGTTTCGCCTGCTGCCTTACAATCAAAAGTGAACTGTGGTTAGCAAAAACTGAATTAGCTAAAGTGACAGCAAGAAGAGAAGAGAGCTACGTTAAGGCGGACAAATTCTGGTCAGCCACACTTATGTTTGATCAACCTGCTGGTGACTTGTGACCAGTTGCTCAAGGTTCAGGTTCTGACTCAAGCTAGCTATGTAAAAATCAGATAATGCACTTGGGTAAAAAGAGCACTTTCAGGTTTAACTTTAAAATGCTGCTTGGTGAGAGAGGCACTAGGTAAAATGTTAACGATGCTCTAATAGAAAATCAATGTGTATAAACATTGAAAAAAAGTATATAGGATGGGCACAATTACCCATATCATTGTATATGGACCTTTGTGTTTTCAGAAGGTATTATCTTGTTTTTACTTTTGAATACACTGCTAAATGTATCTCGTGTGGATGCAAACGAGGGCTGCAACTAATTATTATATGTAATGTACAAATCTTTGAACCCATATCTACATCTTAAATTGCTAATGTGTCTTGCCAATTGTCTAAAAACTAAAAGTTATTAGTTTTATTAAGCAAATCCTCTTGTGTGCTACTTATATTCTGCGATATACAGGTACTGGTCATATAACTAGAATATCATCAAAAAGTTGATTTATTTCAGTAATTCCATTCAAAAAGTGAAACTTGTATAAATGTATACATTCATTCCACAGAGACTGATATATTTCAAGTGTTCATTCCTTTTAATTTTGATGATTATAACTGACAGTTAATGAAAACCCGAAAGTCAGTATCTCAGAAAATTAGAATATTGTGAAAAGGTTCAATATTGAAGACACCTGGTGCCACACTCTAATCAGCTAATTAACTGAAAACACCTGCAAAGGCCTTTAAATGGTCTCTCTAGTTCTGTAGGTTACACAATCATGGGCAAGACTGCTCACTTGACAGCTGTCCAAAAGACGACCATTGACACCTTGAACAAGGAGGGCAAGACACAAAAGGTCATTGCTAAAGAGGCTGGCTGTTCACAGAGCTCTGTGTCCAAGCACATTAATAGAGAGGCGAAGGGAAGGAAAAGATGTGGTAGAAAAAAGTGTACAAGCAATAGGGATAACCGCACCCTGGAGAGGATTGTGAAACAAAACCCATTCAAAAATGTGGGGACATTCACAAAGAGTGGACTGCAGCTGGAGTCAGTGCTTCAAGAACCACCACGCACAGACGTATGCAAGACATGGGTTTCAGCTGTGCATTCCTTGTGTCAAGCCACTCTTGAACAAGACACAGCGTCAGAAGCATCTCGCCTGGGCTAAAGACAAAAAGGACTGGACTGCTGCTGAGTGGTCCAAAGTTATGTTCTCTGATGAAAGTAAATTTTGCATTTCCTTTGGAAATCAAGGTCCCAGAGTGTGGAGGAAGAGAGGAGAGGCACAGAATCCACGTTGCTTGAAGTCCAGTGTAAAGTTTCCACAGTGATGGTTTGGGGTGCCATGTCATCTGCTGGTGTTGGTCTACTGTGTTTTCTGAGGTCCAAGGTCAACGCAGCCGTCTAACCAGGAAGTTTTAGAGCACTTCATGCTTCCTGCTGCTGACCAACTTTATGGAGATGCAGATTTCATTTTCCAACAGGACTTGGCACCTGCACACAGTGCCAAAATCTACCAGTACCTGGTTTAAGGACCGTGGTATCCCTGTTCTTAATTGGCCAGCAAACTCGCCTGACCTTAACGCTATAGAAAATCTATGGGGTATTGTGAAGAGGAAGATGCGATACGCCAGACCCAACAATGCAGAAGAGCTGAAGGCCACTATCAGAGCAACCTGGGCTCTCATAACACCTGAGCAGTGCCACAGACTGATGGACTCCATGCCACGCCGCATTGCTACAGTAATTCAGGCAAAAGGAGCCCCAACAAAGTATTGAGTGCTGTACATGCTCATACTTTTCAGTTGGCCAACATTTCTAAAAATCCTTTTTTTGTATTGGTCTTAAGTAATGTTCTAATTTTCAGAGATACTGAATTTGGGATTTTCATTAGTTGTCAGTTTTAATCATCACAATTAAATGAAATAAACATTAGAAATATATCAGTCTGTGTGTAATGAATGAATATAATATCCAAGTTTCACTTTTTGAATGGAATTACTGAAATAAATCAACTTTTTGATGATATTCTAATTATTGGACTAGCACCTGTAGGTGTTGATTTTGTTAATTTTCCTCTGATCACAGCGTCTCTCAATGCTAAATCAATATATTTTTTAATTGGAAATCGTTCTGTCTAAGGAAGCACGTTTCTTTACACAAGATCCAGTCATGTCCTAAAATGTGTCGTCAGTCCAGTTGCAGATATCCAAGAATTTCATTTGTTTTTACCTGCAGGTTTCTCTTGACAACTGTGTAGAGGTGGGGCGCATTGCCAATACGTATAACCTCACAGAGGTGGACAAATATGTGAACAACTTTATCCTGAAGAACTTCCCCTCATTGCTGGGCACGGGAGAGTTTGTTAAGCTACCATTTGAACGTTTGGCTTTTGTACTGTCCAGCAACAGCTTGAAACACTGCACTGAGTTGGACCTGTTCAAGGCTGCTTGCCGTTGGCTACGCTACGAAGACGGTCGTATGGACTACGCCCCAAAGCTCATGAAGAACATTCGCTTTCCCCTCATGAACCCACAGGAGCTCATCAATCATGTGCAGACAGTGGACTTCATGCGCACAGACAACACCTGTGTCAACCTTCTCCTAGAGGCTAGCAACTACCAAATGATGCCCTACATGCAGCCAGTTATGCAGTCAGAACGGACAGCCATCCGCTCAGACAGTGCCCACCTTGTCACCCTGGGTGGTGTCCTGCGCCAGCAGCTAGTTGTGAGTAAGGAGCTGCGTCTTTTTGATGAGAAGGCTCATGAGTGGAAGGCGCTGGCACCCATGGATGCACCCCGCTACCAACATGGCATTGCAGTCATTGGTAACTTTCTCTATGTGGTGGGTGGCCAAAGCAACTATGACACCAAAGGCAAGACAGCAGTGGACACAGTGTTCCGGTACGACCCTCGCTATAACAAGTGGATGCAGGTGGCATGCCTTAATGAGAAACGTACCTTCTTCCACCTCAGTGCACTCAAGGGACACCTCTACGCCGTTGGTGGACGGAACGCTGCCGGGGAGCTTGGTGAGTTAATTTCCCTGCTTGTTTGTTTTATCTTTCCTTTTAAGCAACAACAGAAGCCTTTAATTAATAGTGTATGAGATTATTCACTTAAATATCATGGAGCAATACGAGAAAAAGACAGTTTAATAAGACTGCAAGCATTCTGATGCTGGTAATCAAGTCTTGTGCCTACACATCATTTGCTGTTTCAACATGTTGCGTGTATAATCTCTGTGTAATTTAATAGAATTTAGAGGATGTGCACATTATCCTGAACACCTTTTTACAATCTAAAGTAATCCATTATGGAAGCATTTCAACACATGCAGAATCCTTTGTAACATGGTGGACACTTTACTGATACGGTCTCAACAAATATTTAAGATTAAAGTCCTTCTAATGTATGTACATGTATTACAGTGCTGTATCAGATAATGTTGAATTGTAGGTCGTGAGGCACAGCCTAAGCTAGGACACAAAACGGTACTGGCAGAGGGGATTAAGTGAAAAGTTGTAAACAATTTGTCAGTGGAATTTTTAAAGTGATTTATAAAGGAGTCGTATCAGATCATCCTTAGCCAGTAATCTGATGATTTTCATAGTTTAAACATTATTTTGTTAGCTTTTGACTCACAATTCACCCCTCTGTTAAATACTCTTCAATTTACCAGTAGATATCTCTCTCTCTATCTCTATAGACAGATAGATATCGATAGAGAGAGATTGATATATGTGGAACATATATTTGGAACCTCTGCACCCGTGACGGTGGACCACAGAGAGGTGCCACCCAGTACTTAAATTCAGCTCTGAGAGAGAGAGAGAGAGAGAGAGAGAGAGAGAGAGAGAGAGAGAGAGAGAGAGAGAGAGAGAGAGAGAGAGAGAGAGAGAGAGAGAGAGAGAGAGAGAGAGAGAGAGAGAGAGAGAGAGAGAGAGAGAGAGAGAGAGAGAGAGAGAGAGAGAGAGAGAGAGAGAGAGAGAGAGAGAGAGAGAGAGAGAGAGAGAGAGAGAGAGAGAGAGAGAGAGAGAGAGAGAGAGAGAGAGAGAGAGAGAGAGAGACCACAGTGTGAGCAGTCTTCTCTGCTGGGTTATAATTAGACCAAAGGACACGTCCCCAGTTCACTGCCTGTCTACACAAATGCCTTTTTCTGCTTTATGTTCCACTGCCCTTTCAATGCATGTGGTTTAGCCTTGATGTTTTTCTGGATGTGCCCAGCCCCTGAATAATATTTGTTTACTCTGGGTAGTTCATATGGGTGTGAACTTTTATTGTAACGTCTGAATTGCCCAGATTATAAAAGAAAAGCTCAACAACATGTAGACAGATATTTGCAGGAAGAAGCTTTTAATCTTAACTGGTGCACTTTTTAGGGACTTCATTCTCCATTAGGCATGTTCTTTTGAAAAAAAAAAAAAAAAAAAAAAAAAAAAAAAAAAATATATATATATATATATATATATATATGCATTTGGGGGCGGGGTAGTTAGTCAATCAAATCACTCTCTTTTGCCCTATTATAAGACATTTTATAGGTCTTGAAAAAAATACCAATGAGAAAAAAACTTTTTCTTGCAAAGTGTCACACGATCATTTGACTGTTATTCATGATTGTTAATTTTGTAAATGATATTCTTGCACAGTAGCAGCGTGATACGGGTGGTGATGGCGCAATGGATAAGACATGCCTTTGGTGTGAGAGACCTGGGTTCAAAGCAAACATTTATTTATGAAAAAACATAAAATAATTTTGTGTCTCAGAATGTTATTCCTCTTTCCTGTCCTGTTAATCATTGATATTTTGGGGACCAATCACAATACACAGCCCCCCGTGGAGAAACACTGCTCTAGGTCAGAGAAGTATGCCAAGTATGCTATATTACCAGATGTCACAGCTGCCAGCTTGACCCTTAGTATGTTGAACGACAGAAATTTGTGCTAATTAGGAATCCAACCTTTTCTACTGATCATAGATCAACTCCATATTGTAGATCTGCTCAGTACTATTATTGTCTTCTAATATGTCTGTAGTACTTCCTCTGAACGACTGCGAGATTTTGTGCACTGCTCAAGGTCATTGATGATAGTTGTTGAGCAAGCAGAGTAAGGCATTCACTCATTTTCCCCGCTGAGATTTCCCCAGCTTGCGCAGGGATGGCTCACACTCCTTTTGTTGTCCTGAGCTTTATGCTGTAATTCGGAACCAGTGTGAATAATTTTTTTGTAATAATTTTTCAAGTAAGTTATGTTGAATGTTGTAGTACATTGCCCTGTGCTACTGTGCCCTTTCTACACATGGTAAAACTCCAAAATCTGTTTCTCTGTTTTTTTAGAACAGTAGGAACAAAGATAACTGATGAAAATCCCAATAAAAATCCAAATTAAATTAATTATTGTTTTTTTATTTTTTACTGAAATACAATCATTGTCACTTTAAAGTGATGTGGTTCCTCTTACATTAATTTCGGCATGTTGTGGCGCCATGTTTCTACAGTAGCCCGGACGGACAAACGGCTCTACAGAGCGCGTTTCGTCACTACGTTTAATACATACGAAGAAGAAAAAGAACAAGTAGTAGGACCACACATTATTTAGCACAAGATCCGACGGAGCACGTCGACTGCCTTTGCTCCTGTGCACTTGGAAAGGGAGGGGTGAGCGGTGACTGATGATGCATTCATGTAGTGTTGGAATAATCAGAATCTATTTTTCCTTAAATCCTTAGTGCAAAAAGAGAAATAAAGTGTACATGGGGCATAGTATAAATAACTTTGATTCATGAAAAATCACGTTTGCTATACAAGTACAGTGAACTAGATGCCTGTGTGTTTATAAGCTCTGATAATGCTAATCCAACACATCTTTGTAGTAGCATCAATTTTGATTTTACATTCTAACTAAAGAGCATACACTGAAGATGGAAGAGCCGGGAGCTGCTGGCTGCAATTAGCGACCCTCACCTCTAGATGCCACTAAAACGGTACTGTGGGGGACTCCCGTTATTAAAGTTGTAAGATCAAATGCAGATCATGCAGATATTTTTTTTTCTCCCTTGTTAAACAAATTGATTATAAGGACACTTTTGCAAATGCTCACAATAAAGCATGTGCGTGTGTGTGTGCATCCCGGCATGTGATCCGCATTCATAAACCTATGGACACTTATTTTCTTTTCCCTGAGGAAATTCAGGGGAATCCAATTACCTGTTTACTGACAGTTTTTTCTGAGGTGTGTCAAGCAAGCCAGAATCTCTTTTGAATGTCCATTCAGAATTCTTCAAAGTAAAAGCTCTCAATAAACTTGACATAAACCAGCCGCTATCAGTTTATTTTATTTATTTATTTTTTCTGCTATCAAAGCAACTTGGCCGCAGGCCAGATATTAATGCTGGCGGGCCGGTTCTGGCCCACGGGCCGCCTATTGCCGACCACTGCTTTAAGGGGTCACTTAGCCACCAGTCACTCACATATGAGCATCACTCATGAATCCCAGCATCCCTATTTAGGTTTCTTACAGACTTTGTAGAACCCCCCTCAGGGGCCTTAAGAGAAAGGATCTTACAATCCCTACTTCCTGTGCTGTCAGTGCATTCAGTGCTGGTGGGGTTGTGGATATGTGTATTTAAATCCGCGTTTTAGCTCCCACGCTGAGACCCTCCAAGGCCTCATTTGCTGCTGTTTGTCCTCCTTAGTTGTGTCTTGACCTACTTTCTACTAATACGTTCTTCTTTTTTTCTCCCTTCATCTTTTTCTTCAAGCTACTGTGGAGTGCTACAACCCAAGGACAAATGAATGGACATATGTTGCCAAAATGAATGAGCCACATTATGGCCACGCTGGGACGGTGTATGGTGGCTACATGTATATTTCAGGTAAGTGGTATATTTCAAACAAAGAGGCGCGTGTAATGTTGTGTGGTGAGTTTACAAACCGATTTCCAATTGGATCACCCCCAGAGCATTTCACGGCAGATTACATCTTATAAAATTCAGGTTACCTCATCTGATACCTTACCTCAAAAAACACCATGAGTCATCGAGAGAGAGCTGCTATGTGATTTGTCTCATTCTAGTTTTTCAATGAGTCACTAATAAGATTTGTAAGGGGACGCTAATGCTCAGTATTTGTGTCTTTTGAACTTGCTACATCACATAAAAAGGGTGTCTTTTACAAGTCGTTCCTCTCACACTCGATTCATCTATGCTGAGCACGCAGGTGATGCTAGTTAAAGTCTGCACGGGTTCAGTGCGTAGGGCAGAGGATGGACACTGACACTGGGCCTTTGGGCAGTTAATACTTGCTCTATAGGTGTCACCTCGATACTTGTTCACTTCATAGGATTGAAAACAAATCCTGCATTATGGAGATGAGCCCTAGTTTCTCAGCGTGACTAATCCAGAGCGGCGCTACAAAGGAAGGGGGAGGGGAGGGGTGGAAGGGAAATTGGGAAGGATGGAGTAAAGTAGAAGACTGAATCCTGTGTAGGAGGTGTAACACAGAAGAGGCTGCGCTAATCCCTCCTGGCCGTGGGTACTGTCTTCGTTGGACAACACATGAACATAAACAGTGGTCATAAACATGAAAAAATTGGATCGCTGGAGGTTTCCAGAAGTGTAGATTTTTTTTTTTTGCGACAAGAGGGAGTTTATTGCAAATCACAAAAAAATGTGTTTTGTACAGATTCTAGTTCTGTTCGGCTCATCTTCTTTTTATAAATTCTAGAAATTTAACCAGTAGCGCCTAGATCAGCTGAAAATCTGCAAAGATACAACCAAAGAAATGAACACCAGCTGTTTGAGGAGTGAAGCAATCGAAAGGAATACAGAAACAAAGTCAGAATTTCAACTAATGCTTTTTTGTGTGTCCGTGAACTATTTAAAGAAGAGGTGCAGCTTATTGGTATTGGGGACAGTGTTGGTCTCCACAGCCTATCCGCATACTGTACAACCTGGGAGGCTTTGGCAAATTAACATAAAATATTAAAAAACCTCCCGAGCAGCAGCATTAAGCTAAGTTACAATGTGAGATGCTGACTGGCATGCACGCTGTTTTATTAGAAACACTCCCTGATTTTGATTACTGTGCACACAACCAGTGACTTTAATTTCATAATTCACAGATCACATTATTCCTGCAATTCCAGTTATCGTTTTATTTTACAATTCCTCACACAAAGTCCCACAACTGACAAACATTCATTTGCTTTTTTTTCAACACATTGGAGTATTGATTTGTCACTGTGCATGTAGCCCTGACTAGCCAGAAACGAGATTCTGACTTCATACATGATTACTGTCATTGTTTATATAACTTTTATTTAAAAAAAATGTTATTAGTTAGTATGTCACTTGGCAAGCAAAAGAACTGGGGCATATTTGGGACCACACAGACCAAATGATTTGGCAAGCCAAAGATTACAGTGGCGTGAAGATGAAAGACAATTTCACTTTTTAAAATGAATAAACTGAAATGATTTATAATATAGTCGCAGACTGAGCTAATCTGCTGGTAGCCAGCTGTTTTTCAATGCCTTTGCCTCAGGCTGTACTCTGCAGTACATCGTATTTATTGCTCACCCTTTTTGATATTCTAATGGATTCCTTTTGTTTTAGTTTCATGGTTCAGTGATGTACTCAATAGCAGGCCAGTAGCCTGGTACATTTCACTAACGGTGACCCACAGTGTCATGCTTTGCACCTGCAGCATGTGTTAAAGTGAACATTGGCATCATACAGCTTGTCAAGCAGGTTTGTAAGTACAGCTGTGGGTTATAACACAAGAAAGAAACATGCATAATGGCTTACAAGAAACCATGAAAAAAGAATATGTAGTGCTTACAATGCAAAAGGTACAGGTAAAGGAGCATTACCCATTTGAACTGAGGCCCTACTGTAGCGCCCACAGTCTAGGCTGTCACAGTCCTGCTGTGCAAGGTGACCCATGCTGAAGTGCAGTTCCGTGTCCGTCTGTCACAGTAGATCAGGTCGCATTCTCCGGCGGTTCTGCTGTGCTGTCTGAAGGTATTCTGTCAGCTGGATGAACCTGACAAATGCACTCAGCCCACAGACCATCACAGCTCAAGTGGCGTGGCACAGTTCAGACATGAGTACTGAACCAGCACAGAGCCTCACCGCCTCTGGTGCAACGTTTTACCTGAGAGATTAAGATCTGTGGTCTCACAATTCAGACCGTTTTTAGTTATTTACGGAGTCATCTCTGAGCAGACAGTCTCATAGACTAGAGTTGTTTTGACAATAATGATTCATAAGTGTCTGAAATTTCAGTTTTCTGCTCACTATTGAGAGTCAATGATTGTCCGTTATATAAGAGTAGTGAATGAGGGATTTTAGACACAGCTGAGATTGGTTTAATTGTAACATCTCATATTCCTGCAGGACTGACAGAAAGAAAAATGTCAAAAGGCTATAAAATGAACTCGACAGTACGACTTCAGGAGTGTGGTTGCTGAATGTATATTACCGGATTGGGGACCATGAATGAAATGCACTGTATTTTTTACCTTGATCTGAAAAATGAAGAGGAGCCCCGGTAATTTTGGCTGCATTTATAATCCACTGTCAATCCATCTATTCCGAGCCATCCCATAGACACTACGGCTTGGTTGTGTCTTTAGCCATGTGAAATCAAGTGTGTTGTCACATACAGAGTACGTCTAGCGAAATTCACCCTCTGCATTTAACCCATCCTAAGTACTAGGATCAGTGGGCAGCCACTGTACAGCACCCGAGGACCAACTCCAATTTTAAGCCAGTGCTTTGGTCAAGGACACTGATAGGAGAGTTAGCCTAACATGTTTTTAATGGTGGGGGAAACCAGAGCCCAGAGGAAACCCACACAACTGAAGTTTCGAACCCCCTTCTTGCTGTGAGGTCAAAGTGTTATCCACTGAGTTCATCCACTATGGATGTGACTGTACATTTGTTTTATTTTTTAAGGAGGAAAGCAGAGCAGTAATTGATATTTGTACTGAAGTGCAAGTCTGACTCTCTTATAATTAAAGGATATTCTTGGAATATGCTGAGCCCCCTTTTCCTGCCTCACCTCTGTGTCTATTCTCCATCTTCTCTTTGGGTCCCGCTTGTGCCGACACTGATTCAACCAACCAAGTGGGTCACTGGCTTTACAAGGGCACTTCCTTATATATCTACATGGTTGAACAGGGAAATGGTTTTTGTATGGCATATGTGGCAGACAATACAAACAATAACCCAGTCTGTCCTGTCTATGGAAGGGCAAACGCTTTTAGCCTGTTTCTCTGAGGTTGGCTTAATTAATGTCTCATTAATGGCACTGATTGGACATTAGGATACCGGGATACTGATCAGTCATTGTATCCGGGAAAAGGCCAACGCCCTTGAACTGAATCAGAATAGCAGCAGGGCCTCTTGAGAGGAATTATCAGGACTTTATGAAGGACTCCTGCTCTGTTCCCTTGATTTGAATAGCAGACGTGACCCATGGACTGCTTGGATAAAGAAAATGGATAGTCAAGCTATCTTTGGATGTGATCAGTTAAGGAGGTGCAGCATCACAGATATGAGTCATGGCAGCTGAATAGACAGCTTAGGCTTTAACAATAAACCAAGCACACGATCACTGGGCAGCAGCAAAAGAGGGATTCTGCCTCTATTCGGCATGCTCCGCAGATCTTCACTGCATTTGCTCCTAGTCACTCTGCCTAGAGGGGGGAGGGGAGGGCTGGCTTCCACCCAAATGCATGCTGGGATTGTGTTCCTCTTTATTTTAAGCCTTCCCTGTAGACATGTCCTGTTTCTTTTTTTTTCTTTCCTCCCCACTTTCCCTCCGCTTTTTGTGTCCCGTCTGCTGGTGTGTATGTGCGGGAATGTTTTGTAATGGTGTTCCTCTTAGTTTCTTATCATCAGCATTGTGTAGAAAAGAGGCTGAATAAATGTCGATGTCACTCTATTTTATAAAAAAATTACGGTATACCTTGTTTTATGGGTTGTCGAGTTTTAAGTTGAGGTTTGAGAAATGGTGAATCGAGGAAAGGTTTGATTTAAAAATGTACAGCCTTTATCATGATTCACTTTCTTCACAATGCTACTGACGCAAATGTGACCATTTCCAGTGTTATGGCAGGTCCTCCACATGACCTAGATAAATGAAAATGTAGGTAGGTTGACATAGGTGAATTAAAGCTGTTTTCCTCCCCCAAATGATCAGTGACGAAGCTAATGTCCGTTCTCTGTGTCTTCTTGCTGCAGGGGGAATCACTCATGACACTTTTCAGAAGGAGCTGATGTGCTTTGACCCAGATGCGGATAAATGGACACAGAAAGCACCCATGACGACAGTGCGTGGCCTCCACTGCATGTGCACAGTGGGTGACCGTCTTTACGTGATCGGGGGCAATCACTTCCGGGGCACCAGCGACTATGACGACGTGCTGAGCTGCGAATACTACTCCCCCGCCCTTGACTTGTGGACACCTATCGCCGCCATGTTGCGTGGCCAGAGCGACGTCGGCGTGGCTGTGTTTGAGAATAAGATCTATGTGGTGGGCGGTTACTCGTGGAACAATCGCTGCATGGTGGAAATAGTACAGAAGTATGACCCCGAGAAAGACGAATGGCACAAAGTGTTTGACTTACCCGAGTCGCTGGGCGGGATCCGAGCCTGCACGCTCACAGTTTTTCCCCCTGAGGATATCTCAGGCTCGCCCTCCAGAGAGTCGCCCCTCTCAGCACCTTGATGAGTAAAGGGGGGGAGCCCTATTTTGCTCACACCCCCGTAATCCCTCGTACACTCAACCCCCTCAACAAACACACCTTATAGACATTGTTTGCACTTCCTCTTTGGACTACATCTGTACTACATCCCTAAGTACCCTCCAAGTCCACCTCCCCTAAAGCTGTGCAGAAACCCCTCCCTAAGTGATTAAACCTACATACCGATACGGTTTGGCAACCTAATTACATGTTAATGTTGCATACTCGGTATATTTTGGCAGGAAATACCTTGACTTGAAAAGTGACTTTGCAAATCAACTTTTCTACCTGATGTCTACAAAGTTTTCTTATGTCTCGTTTCTTTAAGCGTTCTACCTTGAGATGCTGACTACCACTCTGACTCTGTTCTAGTCTATGCCAGGTTAGATGCAGGTTGACCCCAGAGAGCAGAAGCGTAGGGACGGGTGAGCTCCACAGCTGGTTTTTAACTCAGGGGTTGGCCCAGGCCCCATCTACGCCTCTCTCTCTCGCTCTCTCTGTCGCTCTTTCTCTCTCTCTCGCTCTCTCTGTCGCTCTCACTCTCTTGCTCTAGCTCTCGCTCTCTTTCTCTCTCGCTCTCTCTCTTTCTCTTTTGCTCTCGCTCTCTGTCGCTCTCTTTCTCTCGCTCTTGCTCTCTCTCTCTCGCTCTCTCTCTCACAGTTTCAGTTCTTTTCCTGCTATTGCTATGAAACTGTTAACAAAATGGTGTTTTCTAAATTTAATAAACATGATTTTGAAAGTAATTCCAATGTTGTCGTCATCACTGACTGCAGCAGACTCAGACCAGTCCTTAAGACGCTCAAGTTGAATAAGTTGTTTGAATGTAGTTTACCAGACTGAACACTGTCATTGTTGATGATTTGAATGAAGCCCTCTGACTCTGGTGCAAGATGTGGATCCCTTTTAGATTTGTTTTGTGATGACTGTAATGAGTGAGAGGACAACATAGAAGATCGGTCAACCTGTTGAGACATTTGATGGTTGTCTTGTTGATAGAGATTGCTCAAATGAATTGCTAATTGTTACTGAAGGTAAATAAGTAGAAAATGTCTGGGTCAGGCAGGACTGTTGCCTCGATTTTAAACTGATGTGACCTCGTGAGCTATTCAATAGAAGGATTATAAAATCAAATGTGCCATTCTAACCGGTAACATTCAGGGCTTTTCAGTGCTCCACATTGTGTGGTTAAATAATATAGGCTTGGTCCATGTGCTCATGTCAGCTACAGAAAACTGTGAAAGCACAGAACCGCCTGCCAGTGCTATTAACATTATGCTGCTGACCAGTGTCAACTGGAAACTGGCACATCCACCACTGTCGCCTCTCCTCCTGGCATCAAGACAGACTGTAATGTCGCCCACAATCTGCCCACCTGCTCCTGGCCGATTAAAGCCTTAATAGCAGCATATGGTGTCCGAGACGTCTGCATCATGCTGTTACCGGGAACAAAAGGTTTCTGTAACCATCAGGTGAGTTTGGTCTGGAGCTTTAAATCCTCATTATATTCTCATTATATCCAATTAATGAGACGCTGCAGTGGTGTGTCTGATTTCAGATTTTAATGCCTATTCCTGTGTTGTCCATAGCAACAGCATGTCAGCTGTAGCATTGCCATTATAACGGGTTATTTTACGTAAGACGTTGTAAATGAATGTCCTGGACATTTTTTATTTTTTTGGTGCCTTTTCACTGATGGCCTAATTGTAACTTTTGCATGTGTCCTTATGCAAGTATTTTATTTTTTTTATTTGTGATGCTTTGAAGAAGTGCTATGTTAATACCTTTTTTGTGACATTTCAAAAGCTCTGTTTTGTGTAGCAGCTCATTGTTAAGTCCTTTTGAAGGAACAGTTTGCATCGTTCTCCCAAATATAAAAATAGGCTGTTTGTAATCCTTGAACGGAGAGTCACTGAATGAACAAAGGGGCAAAAATGTAAAAGGCTCAGCTGCTAGCAAAGATGTACATGACAGAAGATGGTACAAGGGTAAGAATTTAGTGCCGCCTTTCCCTGGACATATCAGTGAGAATAAATCATACACTGTTAACCATCTGTATCACCTGGATATGAAGGCATGAATAACAGTGAAAAGAGACTGATGCTGTAGATAAACTACCCCTCAAAGCAAACGGTGAACTTACCTGGAAAAGTAGGATGAGAAGGCGATACAGAACAGATCCAGTTAGGCTAGCAAAAGTACATCAATTTTCCTTAAACAACTCTGAAAGGCAGAGGTGCTAATCCGTCAATGATTGTTTTTTTGTTTTGTCAAAATTCACTTGAAGTGCTCTAAATTTTTGGCAATGTACGACTTTTGCATTTGCTCAAATATGTGGCTACATATACCCTGTGTTGCCGAGATGAATTGTTACTAGTGTGTGTGTGATTTAAAAAAACAAATGTACTGTTTGAGGCATTGCTCAATAAAATCCCTCATTAAGGCTCAGAGATATAACGACATATACCGTGAGATTATTATTTGCCAGCCAACAGAGATTTTGGCTCTTTAAATCAAGCAGGACTGCTTTATGGGTTATTGGATTTTTAGCTATCCTAGTGGTACGGCTCTAGGAATGTCAGTCTGTCGAACCACCACTTTAGTCCAGACTGAAACATCTCTATTGGATAGATTGCCATGAAATTTTGAAAAGATATTCATGATCCCCAGAGGCTGAACCCTAGTGCCTTTGGTGACTTTAACTTTATCGTCACCAAGTGGCAGTTTTTATTGAAATATCCTAACTATATCATTTTATCATAATACGACTTCAGAACTTTTGCGTGGTTTGTCATGACATTCCTTTCCCCCAGAGGATGAATTGTAAAAATGTTGGTGGCCTTTAAGATGGCGCCATTATGAGGTCAAAATTCACTGTTGGTTGAGTGTTTTGGTTTATGGACCTGCAAAAATGACTACATTCCCATCAGTCTCAGCTGCACTTTGTGTTTTAGTGCTAATTAGCGTTCATGCTAAACTAAGATGGTGAACATGGTAAACACAAACAACATGCCGGCATCGTCATTATGAGCATGTTAACATGTTGATGTTAGCATTTAGCTCAAAGTACTTATGTGATTAAGTACAGCCTCACTGTATCAAGGTTACACACAATGGTAATGGGCTCAAAAGGCACAACTCAAGGTGGTTCACAAATAAACAATTTATTGAACCAAGTCCAAAATCACAAGGCTAGAGTCAAGGTCAAAAGACACAGAGCTAAGGTCAAAGCACACTGGGAATCAAGACAAACTGGCACGGAAACAAACAGGAAGTGGGCATATACAGTGGGTACGGAAAGTATTCAGACCCCTTTAAATTTTTCACTCTTTGTTTCATTGCAGCCATTTTCCAAAAATCAAAAAAGTTCATTTTATTTCTCAGTAATGTACACTCAGCACCCCATCTTGACAGAAAAAAACAGAAATGTAGAAATTTTGGCAAATTTATTAAAAAAGAAAAACTGAAATATCACATGGTCATAAGTATTCAGACCCTTTGCCGTGACACTCATATTTAACTCAGGTGCTGTCTATTTCTTCTGATCATCCTTGAGATGGTTCTACACCTTCATTTGAGTCCAGCTGTGTTTGATTATACTGATTGGACTTGATTAGGAAAGCCACACACCTGTCTATATAAGACCTTACAGCTCACAGTGCATGTCAGAGCAAATGAGAATCATGAGGTCAAAGGAACTGCCTGAAGAGCTCAGAGACAGAATTGTGGCAAGGCACAGATCTGGCCAAGGTTACAAAGACATTTCTGCTGCACTTAAGGTTCCTAAGAGCACAGTGGCCTCCATAATCCTCAAATGGAAGATGTTTGGGACGACCAGAACCCTTCCTAGAGCTGGCCGTCCGGCCAAACTGAGCTATCGGGGGAGAAGAGCCTTGGTGAGAGAGGTAAAGAAGAACCCAAAGGTCACTGTGGCTGAGCTCCAGAGATGCAGTCGGGAGATGGGAGAAAGTTGTAGTAAGTCAACCATCACTGCAGCAATCCACCAGTCGGGGCTTTATGGCAGAGTGGCCCGACGGAAGCCTCTCCTCAGTGCAAGACACATGAAAGCCCGCATGGAGTTTGCTAAAAAACACCTGAAGGACTCCAAGATGGTGATAAATAAGATCCTCTGGTCTGATGAGACCAAGATAGAACTTTTTGGCCTTAATTCTAAGCGGTATGTGTGGAGAACACCAGGCACTGCTCATCACCTGTCCAATACAGTCTCAACAGTGAAGCATGGTGGTGGCAGCATCATGCTGTGGGGGTGTTTTTCAGCTGCAGGGACAGGACGACCGGTTGCAATCGAGGGAAAGATCAATGCGGCCAAGTACAGGGATATCCTGGACGAAAACCTTTTCCAGAGCGCTCTGGACCTCAGACTGGGCCGAAGGTTTACCTTCCAACAAGACAATGACCCTAAGCACACCGCTAAAATAACGAAGGAGTGGCTTCACAACAACTCCATGGCTGTTCTTGAATGGCCCAGCCAGAGCCCTGACTTAAACCCAATTGAGCATCTCTGAGAGACCTGAAAATGGCTGTCCACCAACGTTTACCATCCAACCTGACAGAACTGGAGAGGATCTGCAAGGAGGAATGGCAGAGGATACCCAAATCCTGATGTGAAAAACTTGTTGCATCTTTCCCAAAACGACTCATGGCTGTATTAGATCAAAAGGGTGCTTCTACTAAATACTGAGCAAAGGGTCTGAATACTTATGACCATGTGATATTTCAGTTTTTCTTTTTTAATAAATTTGCAAAAATTTCTACATTTCTGTTTTTTTCTGTCAAGATGGGGTGCTGAGTGTACATTACTGAGAAATAAAATGAATTTTTTGATTTTTGGAAAATGGCTGCAATGAAACAAAGAGTGAAAAATTTAAAGGGGTCTGAATACTTTCCGTACCCACTGTATACACACTAGGGCCTGGGAGACAACGAGGCACAAGTGGAGCACATTAGGGCGGGGACAGGTAATCATACAGGGCAGGAAGGCAGACAAAGACATGAAAAGAGACAAGATGGTAAATTCCAACAGAACAGGAAGTTGTTGCAGACACCAGACTGAACACATAGCCTAACTGCGGGAGCTGGGCATGACACAGAGCCGCTAACATGCCTGATAGAGGATTTCATCCACGTTGCCTGCTGCTCTGCCGCTGTCTGAGCATTGTTCCTGCAGTCAAGCCAGACAGAGTGCAGTCTGAGTTTTACAATAGCACTCTGCTGTTCTCAGACATATTTTAAAGCATTAATTGATTTTTAAATTGATTTGAGAAAAGACATTCCATTCAATGCACTGGCACTTCAGTAAAAAGATTAATTTTTTCACTGTGCAGAGCACTTTAAGGACAGAGTAGAAATGACACCAAAAATCAACCTCAATATTTATCCTCTGTACTGATGCAGCACATGTTGTTCCAGATCCGAGTGTGTAATTTCTGGTGCGTGGCTGCATTGTTTCCTGGTGTTTAACACGAGCCAAAGTCAGTATTTCATGACAGAGCTTTGGTGTATCTTGAAGACTCGAGGCTTGGATTTTTAATAAATGATATGTCCTCACTGCTAAGGCAAAGAGAACTGGAGCAAGAAATTACATGCGTTCACCACTCCTCCTTCCCTCCTTCCCACTCCTCCTCCTCCTCCTCCCCTCTGCTTCACTACCTGTGTTTCTCAGCAGATTTCATCACCACTGGAGGTGCTTTCACTTGATTCATGAAGCAGATAAAAGAGGCGCATG